CAACTTTCTGGGGTTCACTATAGGGCATAAGGTTCGAACACTTCCCAATTTTTTCCTGAGCTCCTGCCCTGAACATGACAACTGCTAATTTTGGGTTTGGGGCGGCTGGGGGTGAAGGTTCCGGGTTTCAGGTTCCCAGACAACAGCGGTTCCTTTCGTGTCTTCAAAGCAAGACAGGCAATGGTATTGACGACCTACTACAAGGCAGCGGTGCTCAGAAGCAATGCAGCAGGTCTTTGTTTGTTTTTGGCGTCTTCAACCCTAAACCCTACATCTTCAACCTCCACGGAACTCGGAACATGATGAGTCGTAAAGCCCGAAACCACAACGTCGGCTTTAGGACATAGTCGGTGCCATTCCATGACAGGCTCCATTCTGTGTAGTATTCTAAAGTCTAAACCTTGACACCTAAACCCTGAAACCTGTAAGCCCTAAACTCTCTACCTTAAACCCTAAAGCCTAAACCCCAAACCCTTTGAGCCCTAAACCGTGGCCTTAGGGTCTGTCAACTCAAGTGACTCCAAAGGTGACAGACCCTGGAACCATTCCAGCCTCAATCACATGGCGAACGTTCGGACGTCCACCTGCATCTTTGAAAGACCGCAAAAAGTCGGGTGAGGCGCGCCAACCCTAAACCCTAAACCCACAAAGGATTCGAAGACCCCCCAGAACCCTGAACTCCAAACCCCTCCCTACCTATAGGACGTATTCATCATTGTTGCGTAATTTTGCATCTCACCAGCTCAATTCGTTAGGATCCCAAAATAGAATCAAGGGACCCGTAAGAGACCCTTGAAAGGAACGAGTATCTCATCAGGCTCGTTGGTGCAGGAAGTCCGAGGCGTACAAGCCCGATCGCTCCCACTACTGCAGTGCTACGGAGAGGTGCACTTGAAGTTGTGTTGCGTTGTGTGTGCGCGCACGCAGATACACAGAGAGCGCCTCGTTACAAACATGTTCGTTGGTGTCGACATATACGTGGGCCTCCTTGTTGACACCGTCATCTGCATCGTCTCAAGAAATTGTCACCAACATCACCACATCCACAACAACATCATCATCATCATCATCAGCAGCAGCAGCAGCAGCGTCACCATCATCATCATCATCATCATCATCATCATCAACCTCACCACCACCATCATCATCATTATCATCAGCAGCCTCAGCATCAGAAATGACCGTCACAAGGCTTCTCATCAATGTCATCATAGTCATTCTTGCGAACATAATCAGCACTAACATCCTCATCCTCATCACCGTCGTCATCATTGTCATCAGCAGCATCAGCATCCTCAGCATCAGCAGCAGTGGCACCAGCTCAACTGTCATGTGCGTCGGCATCACCATGACTACCAAGCCGGCGGTGTTGCAAACATAATGCTGACATTTGAATTTATTCTCAGCGACAGCAGCTTCAGCGTCATCCACATCCTCGTCAACATCGCCATCGTCCTTATCCGCAGCCGGAAGATGGGGTTGAGTGGGGAGTGGGCTTTCCGCATTTCTCTGCCCAAATCCAGCAGATTCGGAGCCTTGCAGAGATGTTGTTTCCAGTACCGTGAACTTAAACCTTTTCGTTTGGCGGGCTTGTCTCACGCTGTTAGACTTCTATGTGCAGTCGGGTGTGAGGTTTCGATGTTTGGGGGTTTCAGAGATGTAGAGGCTAACCCTATATAGAAGCCTACTCTTGCGACTGATTCCTAGACGGCACTAGACTAGACCTAGACATTGCCCTAACTTATCGGCTTTATGGGGCCTTTCAGGTTGCCACCATGCCTAGACCTTGAATGGTAGTACCTTCTACCGACTACCTTCTTTGTCCTGCTCTAGCACGCTAGCCATGTCCTATTCTAGCATCCTAATCATAAAATCGGCTCTCCAAGAGCATCTCCAAGATGGCTCTCCCAAAAAGTGTTCAACCTGCCAGTGGTCGAAGGTGCGTCCTGCGAATGGACCATTATTGCCCCTGGCTGAACAACACCGTCGGATATGCGAACCACAAGTTTTTCCTTCAGTGACTTGATCATGAATCAATGAACGTATAGAGTGGAGAATTGATTTTGAGGTTGCTTTACCCTAAACCCTAGCCGCAACCCAATTCCTTGAAACTGAAGATAGGGGGTTAACTAATTACCAATGCTATTTTTGCCTCATGAGCACGGATGTCGACCGCAGATACCGCAGAATGCTATTTTTGGGGGGGGATTCCTCGTCGTAATTGTAGTATCATAGACCCCAGAAGCTATTCCGACTCTGAAGGGCCCCTAGCCGCCTTCGCCGCACAACATCTAGCTCCCAAGACACCACAGTCCCAACGCAGATGCAAGCTGCGAAGATGTGATTATGAGGCAAAAACGGCTTAAGGCTTAAAGGTCAAGGGGCCCAGAGTTTAGGGCCCTAAGTGAAGGCGTAGGTTTTGATTTGGTACGACATCCAGGAAGGTCTCTATGTGTTGAACATATTTCAGGCACGCTGGGGCTTCTGTTTGAAGTGGTTTCCCTGGTTTATTCTTGAAGCTTGTTCGTTCACTGAGCAATCACCGGGCGATAGCAAGCACTGTCATCGAAAGCTTGCTGTCACACGAAATGAAGCTATGTACAAATAAGGCTTGCAGGCACCGCCACCGCAAAGCTTCCTGTCGCGCGAACAAATTCATGTTGGTTCGAGATGAAGGAGTGTTCGTGCCAATCTTCCCCATAAACAGAGTGTGCAGGCCAAACCAAATCTTCAAGCTTTTGCGCACGGTATTCACCGAAGCCGGCACTCGCAGTGTCCATCTTGTCATTATCGTCGCTGCCGTCGTCGTTGCCGTCATCCTTGCCGTCAGCGTGCAGTCATCACAGATGTCGTCGCCGTCTTCGTTTCGATCTTGTTCTGTAGCACTGTGGCTGCCCGTTACCATCAGAATCGTAATCGCTGTCCGGCAACATCAACATCATCGCCGTGCCCTTACAATCCTATTATTCATCGTCGCCGCCATGGCTGGAACCACCAGCAGATAGATCAGGTTCGTTTTACTAGCACAACCCTCCGGCTAAAATCATAAGTGTCACATGCTAAACCCTCAGACCTGAACCCAAACCCTTCAAATATAAACCCCCAAAGCCCTACAGCCCTAAAGCCCTTGACTCTAAGAGGAGCTTTCAGCATTTGTCGTCCACAGCCGAGGTTCCTCGTCTACTCGAGTTCGGCGTGTTTGCTCGGATCCATCAAGACGGTGCCAGTTGCGGGGTTCTTCTTAAGGAGCTCATTTGACTGTCAGCTACCATAAGAGGGATCTACCCATAGGCTCCTTAGTAGTTCCTTTTTGGGATTATCTAGTAGGATTCTACATATGAACCATAAAAAAAGGAACTACTTAGGAGCCTATATGGGTACATTTAGCAATACGGTTTCCTCTTGTGGCAACTTGAAGAAAGTTCCTTGACAAGAACGCAGATTGGGAGTTGTTCTGGGGTTTCTTTAGGGGAATGTAAGGTGCTACGGTTGATGATATAAGTCCTGCATTACCCATAATAAGGAATATACCATAATTCCCATCGTTTAGGGTCCTTCAGGCAATGCAGGATTTATATCATCAGCAGTATCTTAGGGTTCCCTTATGATAATTTTAGCATAATATTATTGAGGCCCTTACATTAAACCCTAAACCCTAAGCCCCCTATATACAGGCCTCTTTGAGGGGAAAATCACCGCGGGAGCCTCTTGGAACTCTTCGAGGGTTCAGGGTTGAAGTTCTTGTTTTAGGTGGGGGGGGGTAATATAGCGGCCTACGAAATTACAAGCACTATTTTTTGTTTTTTTGTTAGAATGATGGTCCCTTATACCCCCAGCATAGCTCTAGCAGTTACAAGGTTAGTACAAGACACCGCCCAAAACCCTATCGCGATTATTGAGGCCTCCACAGTTATAGAGCCTCAGCGCGCCAGCCCTCCAAATCCTCCAGCTGTAAACCCACAGCTCTACAGCAGCTGTCTTTTGAAAGTCTCGCTTCACTGCTAGGTTCAGGCTTGGCCGTAAACCCTAAACTCTACTTCAATGTTATTTTCTGCAACGATTTAGCCGGGCTCATTGGGGGTCAGATGTTCATGGTCAGTAAAGTAAAAAATGAGGCAACTCACGCGTTCTTCCCCAGAATGCGGCTTACTACAAACCTCCGAGTGATCCATTGAAGTGTTCCGTCTCCTGGAGGTATTGCAGCCGGCTTCCCAAAGCCTCAGAAAACAGAATCCCTTGAACCTTAAACCCTAAGCCCTTAACCCTAAATCCCTCGAACCCTGAACCCTAAATCCCTTGAACCTTAAACCCTAAACCCTTAACCCTAAATCCCTTGAACCTTAAACCCTAAACCCTAAATCCCTTGAACCCTAAACCCTAGACCCTAAACCCTAAATCCCTTGAACCCTAAACCCTAAACCCTTAACCCTAGATCCCTTGAACCCTGAATCCTAGACCCTAAACCCTTGAGTCGGAGAGGGTATTCAGGTATAAGATTCCTGTGGAGGTACAGCTGCTGGCTTCCGTGAGCCTTCCACCGACGCTGGTGCTGATGCTTGTAGAGGCCGCATCTGCTGGCAAAGCTCAAGTGGCGTGGTGTGATGTTGCTAAGTACATTGCACCTCCACACTGTGTGCAGCTGTGTATTCAAGAAAGCGCTTTCGTGCGCAATTATCCTATAGCCACTTTCGAACACAACTCTCAACCCTAAATCCCTACAATCTATACCCCTAAACAAAAACGTTACGTAAGTAAACCCAGGTTCTCGTTTTCCTTATCTTGAGAAGGCAGCAAATTCCAAGGCCCCACTCACACTGCCACAGGCTCAGCAACGCTAGTTAAGCTAGCGGGCAGAAGGATTTAGGGTTTAGGATTTAAAGGCTTTAGGTTTCGGGTTTGGGATTTTGGGTTTAGGGTTTACGGGCTTTGAAATCGCCATGATCTACATCCTAAACCTTTGCCCCTGTGTCGTAGCTCACTTCTCTTTGAAGCGTTCATTTGCCTGAGAAGTAGACGGGGCTTCTCTGGGACTCAGGTTTGCTTTCACACTCCTTAGGAAAACATCATAGTCTATGGTTTAGGATTTAGGGTTTAGGGTCTCATTGTGAAGTACGAGGACGCTAAAGGGGTGGTCATTTCGGATCTGGGAGACAGTTTGTCAGTACAACGTGGAGTGGAGGTTTTAGTTGGAAGGCCTTGCACAGGGAAGCCCCTAATTAAGCCCTAGGGTTTAGGGCTTGGGGTTTAGGGCTCTGGGTGCGCAGCAGCATCCAAAGTCAGGCTGGTGCATAAAGAAGCCATTGCTGCTGCATGCCTTGTTCTCGGCAGTCGCATTGTTGAGAACCAGATGTATAAAACATGTCTCGGTCCCCAGCAATCGCTTGAGTCTTGTGTGCAAAAGTGTCCCACTGCAATACCTGCCACTTCCTGAAAAAAGTCTTACATGTACGTGTTGGACTAGCTGGCATCGCAGCTGAAACTGATGCTGGCTTGTATCCGGGACCCTACATCCTAAAGAGGACTTCAGGCCATTGGACTATTAAGAGTCTTACCCTTAGCATCAAAATAGGTCAAAAGCCGTATATAATTGGGTCTTTGGGCCCAAAAGCCTTAATATATGAGTCCTTCGAGGGTAAGGGTTAGAGTCGAAATTGAGTAAACTCCAGACCCATCGCAAACCCCGGAAGCCCTTTACTTTAAGAGCTTCACATAGATGCCTGGAACAGCAATCATAGAACCCATACTGTCATAGTAACCCACAGATGGCGCATAGAACACTTACTTCAAGAGCTTCACATAGATGCCTGAAAGAGCAATCATAGAACCCAGTCAGATAGCGGCATAATGTTATAGTAACCCATAGATTGTCATAGTAATCCCATAGATGGCGCATAGAACACTTCTAGAGAGAACTTGGGCCGCGACACCAACGGAGGCCGGTGCCATCGGCACTCTTCTTTCCGGCCGCTGGTCAGGGCTTTAGGTGTTCTGTTATGTTTAGGGTTTAGGGTTTAGGGTTTAGATGTTTTCGGACGACGATGTCTGCAGGGAGCTCGATAGCAATGTGCGTATATGCAATGCACGTACTCAGGCAGAAGGCCATCCCCCAAAGCCCCGACGTTAACGAGGCATTTTGATCCCGTTCACGACCTTCCATTGCTGGCTCCTCTGCAACAACATGCGCCTGGGTCGAACTTGAGAGATCTTGAGAATTTGATGGTCAGGACTTAGCTTCCCAGCACGACCGACTGACCCTCGAAACCGAAGTTCGGGGTGGTACAGGAATCTACATGGTAATTACAGACGTTGCTGCATAGCAAGTTCCACAGATCAAAGGTCAGCTGTCTGCTTAAACACCCATTGATGGAGCCGGACAGGTGTTGAAGTCTAACTGACAGCACTCACCCGGAAGAATACGAGGAGGTTTTACACGAACATGAGGCGCTCGAACAGGGCACCCTAAACCCTAAACCGTAAACCCCGAAACCCTAAACCCCAAACCCTAAACCTGGAAACCTTAAACCCCGAAACCTTAAACCCTAAACCCTAAACACCGAAACCCTAAGCCCTA